TGTGATTTGGTTTTAATTTAGAAATGTGTCCAAAAGAGATGAATGTTGTGCAAATTATTTACAGACTAGATTATACGTAGATTACAGATTGTTAAATTATATGCAGATTATTCACAGATTATTGTTTTGTAATATTCATGTTATGTTGTCCTTGATAATTATGAATGGTGCATACATTTAACACCAGGTCCCTCCGCTGTTCGTTAGGTTACTTACGTTTGTAAGTGCAGCTAACATTGGCACTGATGTTCGTTGTAATATTGCAGTTACATGGCTATGCTAGTCAAACCAAGTATAAATCTGTGACGAAGTGGGTTTGCTCACCACTTGTCCCATACAGGCCATGACTTTCTAGTTTATACATATATGTTTATGTTTTTTGGTAATTTGCCATAGCTTGTGTAAAAGTGCACAATTTACTATTCCGGGTTGTTTGTGTTTGTATAATGTTACAGGCGAGTGCAAAGCATATGATAAGTTAGAGTAAACACATAGTCATAAGTTAGTTTCAGCTCAATTTTATTAGGTTGCAAGTTTAAACATGGTTTAATTGTTTTCCTGTGTTAATACCTTAATTGTTTGTTCCTTTGTTCAGTTCCACCATGCAGGATAATTGTTTGGGGAGGGGCCGGCCTAAGCATTTCCTGTTTTATAGGAATAGGGTGGTCATGGATGACATCACCGGGCCAAACCAAGTAGAGGGTTTTCTTTCTTTATAGGAATGTTTCTTTTGGTTGTTTTTTGATTATTATGAATAAATGTGTGAATAACCCTGACCTGTTTTTCTAGGCAGTGGGAGCAGAGTGAACTGATAACGAAGTTCCAAATATTAAGAGATTTCTAGATATAGATGTTGTGGAGTAGATCAACCTGCATCAGAATGGGATGGGCTTAAGCAGTTGGGTGTGAATTGACCACCCTATATAAACAGGGGGGAGAAAAAGGAGGTGAAGGTGTGCTGCTGTGAACACGTGCCTCGTGTTAGTGTTGCTATAAGTTTGATGTGTTATTTTTCTTTTGTTATTTTGGATTGAATTATCCATGTACTACCATGGTCAATAAAATAATCGCTTCTGCAAACATATGATGTTGGAGTCTGCCTACCTACCACCTTCCTAGCCACTCTGGCCAGGCTACACCACAAAATCCAAGAACAGCTTGTTTCCATAGAGATATTGGATTATTTGATTATAAATAATTACAAACATTGTTGTTTTCAGGTAACCACTTAAAGAGTCATACCAATAATAATATGTAACTATATATGACAGTTTGGAATTTAACTTGACATTGCTGAAAACCCTGTGCAGTCCACTTTGCAGGGAACTATTAGGTGATATGAACGCACCCTTTGTTAAGATTAGGGGAGCTTAATTGTCATGGTTATGATAACAACACATGGTTAAGGCTATAGAGAATGATCATGGTCATTATTAAAACAAATGTTGACCGCCGGCTGGAAACAGGAAATGAACAGGGTATCCCTTGTTCAATGTTTTATTATCTGACCCATCCACCCTAACCTGCTCCACATGCAGACTGTGTCACACTGACTATGTCACCTGACTTCCTCCTTTGCTCCCGTCACAATTACTTTGGCTGTGAGATGGTCATTAAAATGTAAAAATATGTATGCTTTGTGTGTATGCTCCAAAGTTAAGCTGAAACCCCTTAACACACAACTATAAATACACCTTAAGATGGCTGAGACGTGAAATGTCGAAGGGCCACAGCGCAATAACACAAAGATGACTGCAATATTTATTACGAAAATATTTACTCAGTGGTTCTCGGTGGTGGTCTATCTTATCTAACTGATAGTGCTGACAAGCAGAGGTAAAAAAAAAAAAAGCTGTCATCGGAGGTGAACAGAGGGCAGATGAAACCTGTCAAACCAAAATATTTGTTCAACACTGCGACCATGATGTCATCAGGGCATCAGATGTTGAATATAAATGATTTATTTATTTATTTTTTTTTTAACCTGTCCTGCCCAACAGCCTGGTATAGAGTATGATGACCTGGATACCATATTGTGCCAGACAGATTTTACTTAAACAAGAGAGTATTAATATACTCCTTTGTCTGTTTTATTATTTATTTAATTATGTATTGATTTGTCAGCGGGCTGGACAGGGGGGCAGACACGGGGGGGGGGGGGGCACAAACAGGCAGCACAGAGAAAGGACAAGACCTGTAAGAGAAGGGGGATGGAAGGTGGGGACAACAGGGAGTAGCAGAGGGAAACACCAATTGCAGAAAGCAACGAAACCTACAATAGAACAGAGTGGGGGGCTTGGGGAGGAGAAAAACAACAACAAACAAACACAAACAAAAACAAACAATAAAAATAATAATAATAGTAAAAGACAACCAGCCGAACAGCAGCAATGAACAGCTGACATAGTAAGACAACTAAGAGAAAAATGAAAACAAGAAACAGTCACACACACTAAACAAGCAACACAGCACAGCCACGAGAGCTGGAATAATAATTAATTTAAATAAGTAACTGAAAGAAAAGCATCAGGAATAATTCTACCAACAACCTAAAATTGTTTGTGTCTATGTGTGAGACTGTGTGTGTCTGTGTGCGTGTGGGTGAATGTGTCTGTATGTGTGTGTGTGTACATGTGTGTGCGCATAAGCCTGTTAAAGAATGTAGTTGTTAGTGAGAGTGGGACGCCACGACTGTGCCACACTTACCCCAGCAACAGGCAGGCAAGAACCCCAGATCAGGCAAGGCCGTCACCAACCCCACAGCACGATTGATTAAAATGATTAAATACATTTCACACAAGGAGTTTTGTAGCACCTCACAATGTCACCACTATCTCTTTCCATGTTTTGTGTCAAAATATTTTTTCCATTAGTAATATTCACTGAAAGAATTACATCAAACCACCATTTCTCTTTTAAGGTTTGTATAAATTCTCTTGATAAGTGGAGCGGTAAATGTGTTAAATGTGCTTTATAGAGAGTATTGACAGAAGCATCTTCCAGAATGCTGTTGTCCCATTTTTTCATAAGCAGGTTTGTGTCTAATCAGGAAAACACATAGTACTAGAGGTTATCCGAAGGACCAAGGAGCTGTCTGACAGCTCATCATGGATCCTCTGGCATCAGCAATATTGCTAATCAATGCTTTCTCCCGCCTGCAGTGATGGATCATTTTGGGAAACCTCAGACTGAAAAAGAATGAATCTGTGATGTATGTACTGTATTAGCATACCTATTATTCTTGACTTATTTTACATTTTGTGGAGGAAAAACTCAAGATCAGCTTCTCTGTTTCAGTTCCTCCAGAAGTGGAGCTGACCAGGCAGAGACTTCTAAATATGACAGAATGACCTCTGTTGTCTCACTTCTCCTTTCCTGTTGGCTCCTTGCTTAATCAAACATTGGCAAAAGTCACTCAGCCACTAATTTGTCAGTGCTGCCACTTTGGCTTTGAACCAGACAATTTTTTCTACTCTAAATGCCATTTTTAAACCTTTATCTCTCCAGCAGATATGTAATGGCTTCAATTTCAACCCAAACAGGAAATCAAGCTAAACAAAGCTCCTCCAGCAAGTTTGAGCATGTTTTATGGAGGTTTTATGGGAGTTGTCTTATAATCCCTGCTGTAGTACAGGCACATTGGTATTTATTTTCATATTTTAAAACAAATGCTACCATAGAGAGAAACTTCTATGACTTCAGGAAAGTTTTTTCATTCATTTACACTGTTTGATTTCAATAAGTGATACAAAGAAACCCCCAAATTAAACATGAGCCAGCTTTAAGTAATATTTTCTTACTATATTCAAGTCAATTGAACGGTTTCAGTTTCAGTTTGTCGTTAGTTGGGGCAATGTGAGAGTGTGTGTAAGAGAAATGACAAAAACTCAGGACATCATTGTGGGAAGACAGTGATTTATGGCGCACTATAGCAGCTCAGTGGTGGCTGACAGTGTTAAGTGGAGGTGGAGACAGGCCTGTCAGAGGTGAGCAGAGGGCAGATAAGACTGGCAAAGACAAAATATTTTTCTTAGGCTGCTGTCCTCACATACACACTCTGACTTTTCCTTTTCATTAGTAATGGTCACAGAACAATGAACATGGAACATAGACTCATACATAATGCACATGCAAATACACACAGGCACCCACAGACACTCACTGGAACCTGTCAGTGGTGGATTTTACCTTACCTTACATTAAAAAAAGTGTTGCCAAATATTAATACACACTTTACAAATAAACAAATGACAGAAATAAATATGACTACAGGAACAATTTTAGCAAGTTTTTGTCTTCTAGCTTAACATTTGAAAAAAATACAGATTCATATGTTAAAAGGACATTATTTAGAGAGTGGAGCATGTGGTTGAAAGTCAGACAGGTTTGGTAAGATGAGGTTCAAGGGGCCATGTGTAGTTTTCAGTGGCCTCTAGTGGTGAGATTTCAGATTGCAACCACTACCTTTGCAAACGGGTGCTTGTGAGTGTGCTCGAACTAATGAGCAAAACAGAGACCAACACACATAAATAAAAATAAGTCATTCATAAAAAGTCATTCTGTCCATGTAGTTACTTGTACAGGGCAGAATGAAATAGCGTTTCTCAAGGGCTGTGCAATCATTCAGACAACATACAACATTAAATAGATAAATAAAATTTATATAAAAATCATCAAAGGGACATGCAGGTGATTCTACTGTATATAAAACACTGTCTCCTCCAGGGCCAGCAGAGAGAAATGTCTTGAAAACAATCAATCACATCCAATTGACCACAGCAATCTTCAGTGTACTTCCACCACTATCATTACTGCTACTCCAGTTACCACTATTACTGCTGAATATAAGAGGAAACTTTAATGATTCCTGAGGGAAATTGGGGATTTCAATCAAACATGTGCAAAACCCAAGAGTGACATCATTGATTTAGCTCATTTTTAGGGACCACACAAGCTATAAGACAAAAGAAGGTTTCTCAAGTGACAAAAACTGCTTTATCAGTATATGACAATTACTCAGTCATGTTGTGTCATCTTCTGGCCCCTTTTACCTCCCTACACAGAATAAATGCAGTATTGTGTGTTGTATGTTACATTTATATTTCACATAGTCAAATATTTTTGCTTATCTTCTTGAGCTGGTGAGAGCTGATATTTATATGGACAATGATGAACTCATTTGTGGTTTACAACAGCAGATAAGACAGCTCATTTTAACAGTAAGCATATTATGAGGATTCAAGTCCAAACATAGACAAGACTAGTATTGATTTCCTTCCTGATTTTCAAAAAAGGGAAGTTAAACATTCAGTGAATGATACTGTCCTGCAGTGTGTGTGGGGGGAGAAATTCATCTTATCCTCATTTCAGGACAGTTATACAATAGCCTACACACATGCGTGGTCTTTGTTATTTTTTCCTCTCAATCCTGACCCAAGGTAAGTCGATATTCTGTGCTTATTTGTTTTCTTCTATTTGTAGAGTGCTTGTGGATATAAGAGTTGCGGAGTGTGTGTGTATGTGCATGATGGCGGGGAGAAGGGTGGTTGCATTTGTGGGCTTCGCATTTCAGAATTACAATTGCAATTTGCATCTTATCGTCCAGTTTGACCAAAGTCGTTGATGTCTTCCACAGTGTCTTCCAGCACCTTGAAAGTCATTGGGCACAATGTCACTTTGCCCTGCAAGTATGACACCCAATCTCAGAGTGTCTTGAGTTTCTGTTGGGGACAAGAGACGGTGCCCATGTCCAAATGCTCCAACACCATCCTCTCCTCCGAGGATGGGGCTGTACAATTCAGGCAGTCCCCCAGGTACCAGCTGCTGGGCAGGGGGACAGACGGAGACATGTCCTTGACCATCCTGAACGCTCAGTGGAGTGGTGCTGGTGTGTACGGCTGCAGGGTTGAGATCCCTGGGTGGTTCAATGACTATAAGGTCAACACATACCTTGTCATGGAGGAAGGTAATGCTCATGAAAATCATCCAGGGGGGATCATGAACTTACTCCATCTTAAGGTATTTGTTTATTCCAGCTCCCGTGGAACAACATGTTACCGATGCTTGGACACTTACTACTGGTGGGACACAAGGTGAGCAATCTCCTGTAAATGAATAAATAAGGTCATAAAGTGGTGATTTTGATCAAAATTTTAAATCTAAATGTCTTGGAGCAGCTGTTTTATTGGCAATGTTTTGTAGTCAATGATAAAGCATACTGTATGGCATTTAACTTTATGCATAAAGTTTTATACGTTGTCGTGACAGTTTCAACTTCTTACAAAAATATTGACAACTTTCACAACAAAAAATGCAGAAGTTGGTGACCCAACGTTTGCCACAAATGGAAATGCAACAATTAAGGTATGGTACTGTTTATTTCAAAATGAGGAAATATAATACAGTGATACAGAACAAAATGTATAATTATACTTTTTACTGTACAAGATGAATCCCAGAGGGCTAAAATGAAAAACTACAGTGTTTTGTGTCTAAAGTAATGCTTTTTTTTTTTTTATTCGAAGAACTGAAGGAAATTGCAAATCTAATCTAAGGTGTTGGCTTGCAATTAGACTCAGTTGGAGAATTCATTCATTTTGGCTGGGGTTGCACCAAATGATAATTTATAGGAGAGCCTTTCCTGATCTTATTTGACTTTATTTTATCCCTTTTATTTTATTCTATTTTACTAATTTTATATTTATCTTAAATGTGTATTTTAGTCTTTTCTTTTCTTTATCTTGTATTGTTTTTGTATTATTGTTTTTTTGGGTATTATTGTTTTTTGGGTATCATTGTCTTTACACTTGTTAAAACACTTTGTAACTTGTTTTTGAAAAGTGCTCTACAAATAAAGACTATTATTATTATAATTGATTATTAAGATTATATAATGAAGATAATGGGTAGACACTCAGTTTATGTACTAGTTCTGGGTTTTCAACAAGTTCATTCAGGTGTGTTAGCCAGAACACCACTTAGGCCAAATGTATGAGTATGAAATGATGAGCGGAGAGATAATTCTTATTCTGTTTCTTTATTCCTCTTTCTTGTGTGAACGAGTTGGAGGATGGGTGTAATGCTAAGTGTGGTTTCTATAAAGAGAGAAACAAATACAAATGAATAAAGGAAACATATGCGTACAGTCATTCCTCCTTAAGCACTACTATACATTACCAAACATAACAAAAACAATAGTCAGGATATGACGATATATCTCTTAAACTCTAATAATATAAGCATAAAGAAAGGATTCACACCCTTATTATATGGAATTCTCAGATTTTCTACTATGCGTTAAGTTCCCGCTTAACAGACAGCACTTCCTGTCACCTTTGATACGCTTTATAGCCTCCAACTGACTAAACGGCTGGCTGCTTTTATTGTGATGATGTTCCGTTCGAGCTAGCAAGGCCTTGATTCAGAAGCATCTACAGCGCTCCAAATAACAATATTTAACACCACTTACTTCTTATTCTACTCAACCACCCAGTGCTGAACAATCCTAACAACAAGCAGTAAAGTATAAACATGTCTAAACACGATATTACATATTTTTAATCAGACGTACCGAATCAGATGAGCCGAAGCTCGAAAGTGAATGTACGAATGCGGATCTAACGTTAATTAGCACCGCGTCCCTTAAACTCATAACTCTTATCCACATCAAACAGCAGAAATAACAACTGGTTTGACAACTAAATTCAATATCACAGATGTACTTACTCTTCTCATTTACTCACACTCTGAAGAAAGGTGCAGCTCACAACTACAATACAGCTGACCGACTATCTCCATCATACTGTATACTAATTGTGTGAGGTCAGATAATATACAAATCAGCACGCGCTTTGGCTACCCGGTTACAATGCTAAATAAACGGAAATAAACGTGAACCACAAAGCCCATTATGGTCAACTGTACTAAATAATACTAACACTAACATAACTTTGGAGCCTTTTCTACAGATTAGTTTTTCGATTAGTCAATTGATCTAAACTAATTTAGCGAATAAATATTATTATATTATTTTGTAATTGCTCAATTAATATAACAATTAATCCAATTACCTCAAGTAATTTGTGGATGAAGTGAGTGCCCAGCCGTAGTTGCGGCACATCTGGGCTTCTTCAGGAACATTTTGTCTGAAGAATAAAAAACATGTCATAGTGTGCGACTTTACCATTTTACTTTTATTGAAAAACATAATTCAACTTTATGTGATTTTGCACATGTGGGACACCCACCAAAAACCAATTGTGAGAGGCGAGTTGTTACAGTAAAACGATGGGGGAAACGTGAGTCAGATTTGGAGAGAGGAGTTTGTTGTGATGGAGTAACATAAGGAAATTAAGTCTTGCTAGCAGCTCCTCTATGTACAGGCTACACAACAAACTCCTCTCCCTTGGGCCTTTCTCATTTCCCAAATTTATGTCTCCTGGACTCCTCGATCCTTGACTCCTCGTGGCGCGTCTTAGTCCCTCCCACCAGAGTTGCGAGCTCAAGGAGTTGAGGAGGGGAGGCAAGGAGTGAGGAGTCGAGGAAACAGGCATTTAACGAAGTGAGATGTCCTTTCCTCGAAGCCATTTTAATGCGTCGTCAGACATGTTGCAAAGCTGCATCATCTGTCCACTGTTAGAGCTGTGATCTCTATCAGAAGAGCTGACAGGCTTTTGGCACTAAAGCTACAGATCACATCTTAACAATCAAGAAACATGTCTGTCAATATTATAACATGTATTATAACATGTAGAAACATCTCGAGCCTCTGTCCAATACTGTCTACTACAGATTACAGTAGCCTACCATCATTCACTAAACAGAAATACAATACAAAAAGTTATTTTGGGTGCGCCTTTTGTCTGTACACAGGAGATCATTTCAGCCCTCAGCCTGATGAAGTGAGAGTTTTATCATCAGTCCCTTTACAAAATTACTAACATTTATCTCATATAGCCCCAATTAAAACTGTCACCACAGGATTATACTGTTGTAATGAGTGCAGACTACATGGGCACTATAATAACTTGAAACATCATTGCTGAATGCTCTGGTTCATAATCCAGCCTAATAATTTGACTTCAGCAGCTGATTGCACTTTGTCAAGATTAGCCTATAGCAACTGAATTGGTGTCATGTGCAGATCGGCTCCTACATTAACGGAATATTAATTTATGTTGCTGTGGCTCCTGCGTAAATGTGCACAGCCTCTTTGGAGAGGAGCTTCACCCAGCCAGCCGCTATTCAATGTTCATTTTAATGATCCTGCTGCCCATCCACACATCACATTAAACAACAACATCAGTGATATCAAAGTGAAATGACATTAAGGAATGCGGTTAGTAAAGGGCAGAAAGTTTTATCGCGCAGTTGATCATTTTAAATAATTAATACAACTTGTGAATACAGCAGGAACACTGTAGAGTCCTGCTCCGGTCATGGGTTGGTCCAGCTGCATGTCACGCCTCTTTTTAACATCAAAGCGGCTGAAAAAACTTTCGCAAAGGATACAGGTATCGTTGTTAACGATAGTACTTAATACAGCTGACTACCAGAACATAGTCAACACACTACTAATGGACACAAACACATATGAGACACTGAGACGAGACCCAACCAGTGGATACAAGAAAAAGGCCATAGAATGTCTACAACAGTTACAGAAGGACAACACCATCACCCGTGAACAATATTACCGTTTGTATCCTGGAGAAGCCATTCCTTGCATTTATGGACTACCCAAGATACACAAAGAAGCCCCACTCAGGCCGATTATCAGCAGCATTAACTAGGTCACCTACAACATTGCCAAACACATTTCCACCATCTTAGCTCCTTTGGTGGGAAACACGCCTCACCACATTCAAAACTCTATTGACTTTGTAAACAAAGTTCAAGGACTAAAACTGGATCCAGATGAAACCATGGTATCCTATGATGTGACTTCTTTGTTCACCTGCATCCCCACCATAGAGGCAGTAGAAGTGGAGAATAAAGCCCTCAACTCCTTCAGAGGAACAGCACCGAGCCACTGGTACAGATATGTGGACGACACCTGGGTCAAATTTAAAAGCCAGGAAGTGCAAGCCTTCACAGAACACATCAACTCTGTGGACAGTAACATCAGGTTCACACGAGAAGATGTTCACAACAACAGTTTGGCCTTCCTGGACTGCGCTGTACACATTGAAGAGGACAGGAGCCTGCAGATTGGTGTTTACAGAAAACCCACACACACAGACCAATACCTACTCTTCGCTAGGCGTCATGAGAACACTGCACCACAGAGCGGAAAACATACCAACAAGCGCCCAAGCCAGAGAGAAGGAACAGAACCACCTGAAGGGGGCACTTACAGCCTGTGGATACCCTAAATGGACCTTTGTGAAGACAGCCACAAGATCCAAGAAGAACAAAACTACAGGGGAGGAGGAAAAGAAGGTCAAACGCAACAACATTGTGATTCCATACGTGTCTGGAGTATCAGAGAAACTCAGGAGGATTTTCAACAAACATAACATCCCTGTGTTTTTTAAACCCAAGAACACAATAAGACAGATGCTGGTACACCCCAAAGACCGCACACCCAAACACAAGAAAAGCAATCTAGTGTATGCGGTTCAATGCAGTGAGGAATGCACAGACCTGTACATTGGGGAGACTAAACAACCACTAACAACCACAAACGCATGGCTCAACACAGAAGGGCCAACTCCTCAGGTCAAGACTCTGCAGTCTACTTACATCTGAAGGACAGAGGACACTTGTTTGAGGACCACCAGGTGCACATTTTAGACAGAGAAGATGGATGGTTTGAAAGAGGTGTCAAGGAAGCCATCTGCACCAGGGTCGAGAAGCCGTCATTGAACAGGGGAGGGGGTCTACGCCACCACTTATCCCCCACTTACAATGCTGTCCTTTCATCACTTCCCAGGAAACTCAACGAACGTAACCTATTGGCCTCAGGTGAAGATACCAACGATGGTTGTTCAGTCTTGGCCACAGGTAGTCTTAACGACTGTAACGACTGTCGTCACAGCAACAAGGAACACTAACGAACCAGCGGTATCGATGACCCGGGCCAACGACCCCACTGAGGTTAAATAGCTGTTTCCCTGCCAGTCAGTCAGAACTGAAGAAGTCCTTTGGATGAGGGACGAAACGTCTTCCAGTATCTTCAACCAAGTCCAGTTGACCTTGATTTTAACCTTCGTTGGATACAGGTATCCTCGCTTATAGCTCCTCCAGCTAGCCTCCTCGATCCTCGCACCTCGAGGTGAATTTTTAGGAATTGAGATGTCCTTCAAGATGGGGTTTCCTGCAACAGGTCGCCTCTCACAAGATTTCAGAGCGAGATTTTTCCTTGAGTGAGACTTCAGTTTCTTGTTTAAAACAAAGGGTTGTCACCGGGAGTCACTCATCCTTTCCATGATGTTGTCAGACACCCAGTATAACAGTCTGAGCGTGCAGCTACTCGTATTCCAAAACCTTTGGTACCTACTAGTCATTTCAACCCCAAAATATGTGAAAGGTTTAAATGGTTTTAAATACCGAGATTACCCTTTAAGGCTGAAAGTAAGAAAACAGTTTCCAATATACTGAATATTTATGGCACATAAACTATGTGCCACTTATAAACGACCCAGTCCCTCATGAGAAGGTTAATTTTCATTGCAGGAAGAATTCAAAGCCTTCCTGGAAGTGGGGAACATTGGCAGGATAGTAGCTATTTTCTTCCTCACCATCATCATAATCCTTGTCTTATTATGCGTAAGTGTGGAACGAATTATAGTTTGTGACTCATGTGCCATTCAGATTTACTTTACACATTTAAATCGGGTGTCTATTGAACACTTTATATTCTGTATCATCAGATATCATTTTAACGTTTGTATTTCTTCAAACCAGAGAGAGGATTTCTGCCGAGGAAGACACTTCAACATCTCAACACCTCAGCTGCTGAGAACATTTATGAAAGCGTCCCGATGCCTGAGTGATGGTCAACGTTGCGAGAACAAAGGAGTTTGCAGATTTCTATAGGCAACTGCTTGCTGAACTTGTCATGTGTTGACTCTATTCACCTTTAGAACGCTTGTCTATTGTTTAGTAGAAAATGACCTATGTCCCTAGTTAATCAGATTACAGCATTGAAAAAAGTTTCATACACCCTGCAGATTAATTGATTGGCTTTTATTTTCTCCCCGTCTGTTTTTCATGGAAAAACTGATGTCACAGACCTTAAAAGCTTGCGGATGGTTCAGACTTGTGGACACAATGCCACCTACTGGATTTAATACATTATTACTGGACTTCTAATTCAAAGTAGAGAATAGGTTTGGTTGGTTAACAGTTTGGCTGGGCAAGCTGAGATAGAAATGGAGGACAGTGTGGGAGAAATGTCAATTCATACTGGGGTCAAGTCAATTTTATTTATATAGCACAATATGACAAATCACAGTTTGCCTCAAGGGACTTTACCTGACTATGTTTTGAATAAAGTTGAAAGGTAACATCTAAATTGTTTACTGAAAAACTATTCCCAGTAAGAATAAAATAAAAAGTAAAACATGTATGCATTATTTATATGAATTTGTGCAACAAAGTAAGCAAAAAGAAAGAAATCAGATGTGAAGACATTTTTTCTGAATCAGTGAGATAAATGCTCTGAATGAGGCTCTGACTTTGTGTTCACAGCATATTTCATGGCTGATAGCAGCAGAAATGTGTCACTTTGCATGATTTAAAATTGTTGCTGCTCTATGGAGGTCTCTCATTTGCAGGTGTATATTTTTTGTGAATTGACGGCACACATCTAAAAAAGAGTTGGTACTTTTGTAACATTATTCTGCAATTTTCAGCAAAATCTAATAAATGTAACTACCTCCTATCACTTCATGGATTGAGACCAAACAACAGGAGAGAAGAAATTATGTTGACAACCTTGATAATGTCTGTCTAATCATCAAAATGAAACCACTTCTGGAATAAGAAACCAAAACCACAGAAAAGAAAATTTCCCTTTCTACATTCCTCTTCTGTCAGCAGAAGTTGTTTGTGTGAGCATCCCAAGGACAGCGTGATGTGATTTGGAAAGATTTCAAAGCTGAAACCACAACGTGATTTGGTTTAGTGTCTTTCAGCAGGTGATCTAAATCCGATTGAGACAAGAGAGTAAAATTATCTTTTTAGGCAGAAGATGCCTCCCTCTCCTCTTTTGTCTACTCCTCGGTAAGACAGCCATGAGAATTATATGCACTTATTCAATGATGAGTTTTTATTTAATAGGGGATATGTCACGATCGTGGTGTGGAGGCAGGTTGGAGAACCCAAACGCAGGACACAGAGCGGGGCAGGTATGGTACAACGAAGGGTTTTAATAAACAAACAAAGCGAGCACACTTACAGGTGAGTGGCTGAATAACTGAAATCCAAAATCCAAAAGTACCGGGAGACGAGACAGACGAGACGAGACAAGCAAGGCTGGTTACAGGCAGAGAGTACACACACGACAGACTGGGGGGTAACATGAACAATGACCGGACAAGGACAAGACAGAAACACCAGGTATATATACACAGGGACTAACGAGCAGGGCGGGAGCAACACAGGTGACAGACATGAGACTAACGAGGCAGAGAGAGAGAGCAGAGGAAAACAGAGAGACTAGACATGACAAGCAGACTATATAACAGATACTGGACACTAGACAGGACAGAACCCAAAACTCAACATACCAAGGCAGATACCAAACTCAAAAGCAAACACAAAGGATGGCCAACCGGCAGAGCGTGACAGTACCCCCCCACCGACGAGCGTCTCCAGACGGTCAACAAAACCCAAAACAGCCCAAAAACAAGGCACAAGCCGGCCCAGGGTGGGCGGAGGGAGGACAGGAGGAGGGCCAGACCAGAAACTCTCAGGTGGGTGGCCAGAGGGCAAGGCAAGGGGGCGACAGAGTTCGGGAGGTTGCACAAGCAGGCCAAGGGGACAAAACAGTCCGGGGGAACCACCCAACAGGCAGATCATGCCCAGGAAACAGGGCAGGTAAGGCACTTGGCCTAACATGCAGGGCAGGGCAGAGGGGCAGAACAGTTCAGGAGGCCATCCCGGAGGGCGACCCAGGAGGCCGTGCAGACCAAAGGGATCACGGAGTTCAGGAGGTCGTCCCGGGGGATGACCAGACAGGCCGAGCAAATCAGGGGGAAAACACAGTTCAGGAGGCCGTCCCGGAGGACGACCCAACAGGCCGAGCAAATCAGGGGGAAAACACAGTTCAGGAGGCCGTCCCGGAGGACGACCCGACAGGCCGAGCAAATCAGGGGGAAAACACAGTTCAGGAGGCCGTCCCGGAGGACGACCCGACAGGCTGAGCAAATCAGGGGGGAAACACAGTTCAGGAGGGCGTCCCATGGGATGACACATGAGGCCGGGCAGAACAGGGGGGCCACAGAGTTCAAGGGGTTGGCAGGACGGCCAACAGTGAGGCAGCAACCCCACTGGGGGCCGAGCAGGAGGCCTACGGCAAGACCTCTCCGGAGGTCGGCACCCAAAGCTTGGGTGCTCTGGAGGCACAGCTGGGCTGAGGACCACCGGCGAGAGAGCTGGGCTGGGAACCATGGACCGGACACGAGGAGCTGGAGTCGGCCTGACCACCGACTGGACAGCTGGGCTGGGAACCATGGACCGGACACGAGGAGCTGGAGTCGGCCTGACCACCGACTGGACAGCTGGGCTGGGGACCATGGACCGGACACGAGGAGCTGGAGTCGGCCTGACCACCGACTGGACAGCTGGGCTGGGGACCATGGACCGGACACGAGGAGCTGGAGTCGGCCTGACCACCGACTGGACAGCTGGGCTGGGGACCATGGACCGGACACGAGGAGCTGGAGTCGGCCTGACCACCGACTGGACAGCTGGGCTGGGGACCATGGACCGGACACGAGGAGCTGGAGTCGGCCTGACCACCGACTGGACAGCTGGGCTGGGTACCATGGACCGGACACGAGGAGCTGGAGTCGGTCTGACCACCGACTGAGCACTAGGAACAGGAGTCGGCTGGGCCACCAACGGAGCTGGTGTTGGTCGGACCACCGACGGGAGAACAGGAGTCAGCTGGGCCACCGGCGAAGCAGGTGCCGGTCGGACCACCGACGGAGCAGGAGTCGGCTGGGCCACCGGCGAAGCAGGTGCCGGTCGGACCACTGACGGAGCATGAGGAACAGGAGTCGGCTGGGCCACCAACGAAGCTGGTGTTGGTCGGACCACCGACGAGGGAACAGGAGTCAGCTGGGCCACCGGCGAAGCAGGTGCCGGTCGGACCACCGACGGGAGAACAGGAGTCAGCTGGGCCACCGGCGAAGCAGGTGCCGGTCGGACCACCGACGGGGCACGGGGAGCGGGAACCGGTCTGGCCACCGACGGAGACCTTGGAACTGGTGTCAGTCGGACCTTCGATGAGGGACCAGTAACAGGTGTCGGTAGGACGACCGAGTGAGACCTGGGAGCAGGAGTAGGCCAGGGATCAGGCAGGCGGCTAGCAGCGCTAGCAGGCCGGGGATCAGGCAGGTCTGATGTGGAGCTAGCAGCGCTAGCGGGCCGGGAATCAGGCAGGCGGCTAGCCGTTTTAGCAAGCCAGGGTACAGGTTTGTTGCCGACGGGTCGCTGATGGTGGCCTCGTCGCCTCCGATGACCACCACGGGAACCCGAAAAGATGGCTAGGCGACTCCCTTCAAAAGACGACTCCAGGGAAAGCCTAGCCTCCAGGCTATCAGGCCATAGCCTAGCTGCCCGTGCTGCCTCTGACTCCCTGGCCTTCATGGTCAGGTAGGCCAGGAGAGTCATAGTCCCTGAGTCCTTGGTAGGTAGGGCAGGCAGGCGGACCGACAGGCTAGGCGGAGGACTAGCGGCGCTAACCGAGCAGGATACAGGCAGGACAGGCGGAGGGCTAGCGGCGCTAGCCAAGCAGGATACAGGCAGGACAGGCGGAGGGCTAGCAGCGCCAGCCGAACAGATAACAGGCAGGACAGGCGGAGGGCTAGCAGCGCCAGCCGAACAGATAACAGGCAGGACAGGCGGAGGGCTAGCAGCGCCAGCCGAAGAGACAACAGGCAGGACAGGCGGAGGGCTAGCAGCGCCAGCCGAAGAGACAACAGGCAGGACAGGCGGAGGGCTAGCAGGCCGGAGAGATGACGGCCGGAGGCTAGCGGTCCGGGTGTTAGCCATTTCCAGGCTAACAGACTGAGGATCTGATGAGGACTTGGCTGGGGGATTGGCTGAGGTGTGGAGGAAGTCACAAACCCACCCAGGGAGAGAGTCTGCTGCTCCTGGCTGAGCAGCCAGGCTCTTCCAGGCAAGGGACACGATAGCTGCCTTATGGCTAACATGACTAGCCCCATACCACATATTCCTCAGCACCATAAGCTCCCGGCACAGATCAAGCAGTTCATCGGACATGGTGTCCGCTGGGTCCCAGTCGGTGGTCCGGTCATTCTGTCACGATCGTGGTGTGGAGGCAGGTTGGAGAACCCAAACGCAGGACACAGAGCGGGCAGGTATGGTACAACGAAGGGTTTTAATAAACAAACAAAAGCGAGCACACTTACAGGTGAGTGGCTGAATAACTGAAATCCAAAATCCAAAAGTACCGGGAGACGAGACAAGACGAGACGAGACAAGCAAGGCTGGTTACAGGCAGAGAGTACACACACGACAGACTGGGGGGTAACATGAACAATGACCGGACAAGGACAAGACAGAAACACCAGGTATATATACACAGGGACTAACGAGCAGGGCGGGAGCAACACAGGTGACAGACATGAGACTAACGAGGCAGAGAGAGAGAGAGCAGAGGAAAACAGAGAGACTAGACATGACAAGCAGACTATATAACAGATACTGGACACTAGATAGGACAGAACCCAAAACTCAACATACCAAGGCAGATACCAAACTCAAAGCAAACACAAAGGATGGCCAACCGGCAGAGCGTGACAGGATAGCGGGGTATGTTGTCACACTTTTCACACCATCTAATATTTACTGAGCACCGTACATCACAATGGTACAAATGTCAAACCAAATGAAAGAATGAAGTCTAGGGCAGAAGTTTTGTATTCATTACATCTTCATATCTTATCTCATTATGGAGCTGTAGACTGTTGAATAGAGAGTGTGCGCTTGTGACAATTTGCCCCATCGGCAGGTAAGTTGTCACACTGCATAGGGTAAATTGTCACACTGGATTATCAAACAGTTAGAACACTTAATTGTAATATTGATTTCAATTTCAAATTGCAACCAGAACTAAAAGTAAAATCAATCAACAATCAAGCCTAGAGAATTTGGAAAATAAATAATTTAATTCAAAACAAAAATGTTGTCAGAGCACACATTAAGTGGCACAACCTCTTTCTTTGAACTTTGAAATCAAACGTTCTCTGGAGTGCAAATAGATCTATGGTAATTGAATGTAATGCTGCAGATAACTTGCTTAAATGTGTAACTTCTTAACAAAACAGATGTGGTGTTTAAACACACTAATGCAACAATGTGCATTTTTGTATGACGTACATATGTATCTGACTAATCAGACATGAGTCACAGTTCTGGCACACATAAATTGCCAGGCCTGAGGTGTAAGCATCGCGGGCCCATTTGTTGCATTTCACACACTTAAACCACGTCTTCTTTGGAATATTGTATGAAAATGGCTCCACATGAAGCCAAAAGAGATGTCAGCGGCTTACATCAAAATCCTTAGCTGTACTTCTGATTGATTAGTTATTCAACTTCACCTGCCTGACTGCTTTTAACATTATGTCAGGGGTCATTATGCCTTCAAAAACACATTCCTCCTTGCAATTACAAGCTTATTTGTCTATTAACCTTGTTGCCTAACTAAATTAATAACTGGATCATGTAGTGTGTGTGTGTGTGTGTGTTTGTATCTACTAACATACTACATGCCTACGGTATAAGACCGTATATACTCTGTCATGAGTTCAGTCTTGTCAAGGCATATGGCTGCTGCTGTAAACTACAGTGTGTAAGATTCTATTTACAGTATCATTTAATACTAGTGTCAGAGGTAATTACACAATTTCACATAGTTTTTTGAGCATGTTCTATGTGTTTATTTGTACTGGGGCACATGTGACGACTTGCCCCAAAGTCATTGAGACAACTTGCCCCAAACTGACATGTGTGCTAATGTTGGCTATTTCTCAAGGTTAGCTTAACATAGCACTTCAGTTGAAGTATTAAAAGACGCGTTATTGTCTCCTCTACTTTGTGCAAAGTTATCATTTTGAACATTCATACCTAATAAGGTTGGAATACATAAAATGTAAAGTGCAAATGTTTTACTTTTGAAGCAAAAAAATGATAAAATTGTGCTCACCGCAGAATAGAGTGACCTTGACCACATGTGAACAGGAAGTTGAACATAGAAAAAGAAGTCACACAAAATGGTTTTTGACACAGAGCCTCTAGTGTTGGAGTTATGAGCAGTGTGACAACTTACACACGAGACAACTTATCCCGCTCTCCCCTATATATGACCAAATATTCCTTGTGACCAACAGGAGTTTCTTCCTTTTCAGGTTATGTGTCTGCAGAAAGCATCATACTCACAGGAGAAGATGTTACTTTGAAATGCAATTATGATGCTCAATACTATGTCAGGCTTTCTACATGCTGGGGCCGAGGGGCCCTTTCTTACTGCACTCTTAGCTACCTGCTCCTGGTTGACCTTGATAAACGTGATGTTTCCCTCATCATCAGGCAGGATGAGGAGAGCAACTCAGGGATGTAGCCTACAGCTGTCAGATAGAAATACCGGCTGGTTCAATGATCACACAAGAGGTGACTCTAACAGTAGTGGCAGGCAGCACACAGAGAAACAGAGAAACATGTTTCTACAGTAGCCCAAACTGACAAAATGCTCTACAGAGTACATGGCATCACTATGTTCAATAGTTACGAAAAACAAGCAGAAGAAGAAAAAGAAGAAGTAGTAGTAGTAGTTGTCTGGTGTTTTAGAAGTAAGAAGAGAAATTAAATTTGGACAAATGGAGGACGCAGGTATTATTCAGCACAAGAGCCGACAGTGCGTGTTGGCCGCTGTAGTTTCAAGTCTCAGCGGTGACTGAGCCATTGTTTGTAATTTACAACCCTCACCACTAGATGCCACTAAAACACACACACTGAACCTTTAAGCTACAGAAAAGTAAAATCCACAAAAGTATTTCTGCCAGAGTTTCCATGACAATCACAGTTTAATTTAAGGTAGTTATGAGGTTGGAAAATGCATTTGTTCCTACCCTTAACCAGTTCAAACGACCTCAAAATTTGAGAGGGTTAGGAGCACTTCAGCTGCAGCCACGGTCTGCAGACGAAGCACCACATGTGTTTCATATTGTAATTTTTATCTCATGAGTTTCACTGGTTCAAGAGAGAATTCATAATGATAATGATTTTGGAACAACAAAGTCTCGGAAATCATAGAATTAAGGCTTGAATATAACATGATGTCATCAGGTGACATGGTTGTCTGTTGGTCTTTTTATACTGAATTAGTGACTCACAGACATTTTGTTTGAAATATTACATTAAAATGGGTTTAGATGTAATGTAATGGAAATGATCGTGATAACATTGTGTTTGTCTTTCATTTCAACATCACTAAATTCAATCATGTTTGTATGAGATAATCTCGCCCTTTTCTTGCTGTTCCTCTGAGCTGCAGTCAGCAGCATTCAGTATGACAGCCCAAAATATAAATTTTTCCCCTGCAGATGCGTTACATCCTTTGTTTTATGAGCAGTGTTTTCATACGCAGGGATAAAACATGGTACACTGCCTATGACTGTAATGTTTTTTTTTTTTACAGACTTAATTGGCTGTATCAGTTCCTTGCAAAAGTGTTGACGACATCCACATTTAAAATTGTAGAAGAAGCTGGGCCAGAACTGTTCAGCATTGGAATTGTCACATCTCTGGTACAGTAAATGTTTTATTTCCAAAATAGAATATCAAAAAATATTGTTTTAATTATTCCTAGCACAAAATTTCTACAGATCATTTTACTTTAAAAAAAAAAGTGGTAACATACTCTCAGTTGGCTATAATTAAAGCCTTAGTGATGTGTGCCTAAAGTAATGTTTTAATATTAAAAACATAACAGTACTTCATTTTTATGGCCCAGACTGTATATAAGATTATCTTCACTATAATATTAATCCTCGTCTTTATTTTCCAAAAGGATGGAAAGGATTATATATAAAAGTGGGCATCTATCGAACAGTTGAAGTCACTGAGTGAGCCTTCCTTCTTCCATCTTATCCTGTCCTAATAACACACTTGGAAGATTTTGCAGAGAACAATTTAAAATCCAATGCCAACATTCAGTACCACTACAGGAAGTAAGGAGCCTTTATTTAGTGGTCGTGGATGAACAACATATCTAGCAATAATAATAATCCATAACCTTAACCAAATGTTTTACTGTAGTTGCCAAACAACTTGCCTCTCACAAGATTTCAGAGCAAGAATTGTCCTTGAGCAAGACTTGTGTTTCTGCTTAAAAACAAAGTGTCACCGGTTACCAGACACCTGGTATAACAGTCTGAGCCTGTCTGTGGCAAAAATAAGCTTTTTTTGTGGATGTAATTTTGACGCGTACAATTGCCAAAAAGGAACATTGCGCATTTCAGCCACTGCACCCGTTTTGTGGCTGTCGGCTGAAGGCATCTACTGCAAAGATTCCAAAATATTTTGGATCTAGTCATTTCAACACCAGACATATGTAAAAATAGGGCCCAGGTTTAAAATACCAAAATGATTCTTCAATATCTGTCTATCCTGGGAGAGAGATCCCTTCCTGCTCTTCCTGCGGTTTCTTCCATTTTGTCCCTGTTAAAAGGTTTTTTGGGGGGAGTTCGAATCCAGAGTCTAACAACAGGGGGTGTTGTATGCTGTGCAGATTGCAAAGCTCCTCAAGGCTAATTGTGATTTGTGATATTGGGCTATTTAATATAGTCTTAGTCTTAGTTGACTTAATAAGTAACACTTTTTTTTTTAAACCAAATTTGCTGCTCGCATTTTACAGTGCCCCACTATTCTCTGATTAATTAATTTACTTTTCCTGTTTTTCTTTCTTTTTGTTTTGATGGCAAATTTAATCTCCCAGCATGCTTTATTAAGTCTCAGTACTTAAACTAAAGTTTAATGGAAGCTGATTCGTGGACACAATGCCACCTACTGGATAAACACATCAAAATATTATAATAATAATAATAATATAATAGAAATTTCCACCTTGAACACAGCTCTCAGTCTTCCACATTGTCCACGTTTTGATGGTGCTGTGTGTTTTTTCTGTAAGAATGATGAATTGCTGTGATCATACACATTCTCAATCTCAAGATTTGGGTCCTTTCAAAATGATTTTGTGTATTAACAAAATGTATTTATTTTATATATTTTAACTCAAATCTTAAAATCAAACTTAAAAAAAGTGTGCGTTCCACAAATTACATAATTTTCCATTTTTTAAATTTTGTTCCCATTGAATTTCACCTTTGAATTGAAGTCCTCACGTTCCAGTGAAAGTAAGTTGCTCTTTTTCTGTTTTTGTTCTGGTTTTTGGAGTGTTAAAAAAATTAATTAGTGTAGCAAGGTAAGCAAAATCCAAGAAATCATGGGTGAGGCATCTTTTCTGAATCAGTGAGAAAACTCTTTATGTGGCTATGACTGTTGTTTTCAGGAATTTCAAATGTCATGACCGACAAAATCTGAGAAAAGCATCTTAAAATTGCTGTTGTATGTAACTTTCTCTTTTATTGCTGTCTACTTTTGTGGGTGTACCAGGGTGCACATGTACAACAGAGTTGGTGCTCTCATGTAGTAGTAATGAGTTGAGTTAAACAAATATGTGAAGCTATCCCATAAATCCATTTGGATTTGGATTTAATGTAGAGCTAAACTCAACATTTGTGATGCTATACAGGAATGACTAAATCCATTAAGACTGACTCTGCAAATATGAAAGTCAACCTTCTTTCAATCCTACAAATACCAACAATAGTAAAAAATAAAATCTACAGCTTTGTGTTTTTGAAATATTGCAATAAACAGTTAGTTGAACGTGTCTATGGGAGTGATCAAAGAGGAAGTTCGGTGCTGGGTTACTAAACATCCAGCAGACCCAAATGTTTACTCAGCAGTCTAAGAAGCACACAACAGTTCATGGCCCTTGAGTAAACCAGACTTTCTATTTTTAAGTGTTATCAGGACCTAATGGGTATACGTTTTTAGAAATGAAGATGAAGATAATATATCGGAAACCATTTTGTGTTTTGCTCACATGCTGATAATTAAAGTTAATATTGAAGTTAGCGTTGAAGTTAGTGTTTAAAGTCTTGAATGTCTTCTACTGGACCAAAATCATTTTCCAGTGTGTGCTCAATTCAAAAAGTACTGCACTACAGTACTACAGCTCCTACACCCAAGGGAGAAGTTAAGAGTTTGAATGGTTAAACTAAAACCTTCTATCCCTATCACTTCACGGATTGAGACCAAACAACAGGAGAGAAGACATTATGTTGACAACCTTGATTCTGTCTCTGTCTAATCATCAAAATGTAACAGTGTACCACTTCTGGAATAAGGGAACCAAAACCGCAGAAAAGGAAACAGCTCTTTTCTACATTCCTCTTCTGCCCGCAGAAGTTGTTTGTGTGAGCATCCCAAGGACAGCATCATGTGATCTGGAAAGATTTCAAAGCTGAAACCACAATGTGATTTGGTTTAGTGTCCTTTAGCAGGTGATCTAAATCCGACTGAGACAAGAGAGTAAAATGATCTTTTTAGGCAGAAGACACGTCCCTCTGTGTTGCACTCTCCTCTTTTGTCTACTCATCGGTAAGACAGTCATGACAATTATATACATTTTAATTAATTATGTGTTTATTTAATAAATATTTCCAAATATTCCTAATTGCAACAGGAGTTTCCACCTTTTCAGGTTGTGTGTCTGCAGAAACTACCATAACCACAGTGGGGCAAGATGTTACTTTGAATTGCAACTATGATGCTGGGTACTACGGCAGGCTTCCTGTATGCTGGGGTCGAGGAGACATCCCCAACAGAGGCTGTGCCAATGAAGTTATCAAGTCAGACGGGACGTCAGTGCTCCGAAGACTGTCAGAGCGTTACCTATTAAGTGGTAACCTTGGTGAGGGTGATGTGTCGCTGACCATCAAGCAGGCTCAGGAGAGTGACTCAGGAACGTATGGCTGCCGTGTGGATATACCGGGCTGGTTCAATGATCACAAACACCAGCTGACTCTGACGGTAGTGGCAGGTGAGACCCACAAGGACATAATATAATCTCTGAGGGGGAGACGAAAAAGAAGATCAGTATTTGTGACAACATTCAAAGTTTGGTTACTGGAATACCCCGGTGACTGCCTGCCTGTTTTACAAATGTCCTTTTCAATTTCCAAGGTGACGACTGGCAGTGCTCACATTTAATAAGCTGGAAAAAGCAAAATTCATAAGTGACTTAAACAATTAATTGATTGTAAAATAGTTTGTTCTGTTTTTATCTGTTGATTAATCGACTGATTGTTTTTGTCTTTTTAGTGCGCCCTGATCCTCTGAAGGTGGAAGCAGGAGAGGTGAAGGAAAGAACTGTCACTGTTCGCTGGACTCCTGTGTTTGATGGCGGCAAGCCCATTACACATTACAGGATTGATCTAAAAAACAAACAGGGTAAGCACAAGAAAACTGTGCCAATAATCTTAATAGAATTTGGGCATTAGGCAGCTATTGTTCGAAATATACTTTGCTGGATCTTATCTATGCATTCCTGTTGCACAGCATCATGGGACACTGCAATAACAACTCAAGTCTCAAATCCTGAATTGACTCAGCTGACTCTGGTGGATCTGCGACCTGCCAAGAGCTACAACCTTCGCATGTTTGCTACCAACAGTGTGGGTATGAGCGAGGCCAGCAATGTTCTGACAGTCACAACAAAGAAGCAGGTAGAGTCAGTCATTATATATTGTTTAAGAAATAATTACAATTATGCAGAACCACCTTTTTGGCATTGATGTCCTGTTTAAAATGTCTTCCCCTGCAGCACCAGAGGGTCCTCCGCTGGATATGAAGCTTGAGGCGCTCACTTCTCACAGCATCAAAGTCACCTGGAAGGTAACATCACAGTTTTGAAACTTCATTTGCAGAAACATTTAACAATTTTCTCAATTTGCAGAAAAAAAAAAAAAATTAAAATAAAGAGGCTAAAGATACTCTACCCTTTTTGTCCAGGCTGTGCGGGTTTGGGTTAACCCTAACCCTCTGTTTGTTTTCTCTTGACCAGCCTCCGAGGCTCGATCTGAGAAATGGAGTTCTTCGAAGTTACAGCATTAGCTACAGAGAGTATGACCCTGCTGGCAGACAGTTTAAAAGGTGGCAGCACTTAAGTGTGACAGCCACACGGGAACTGGAGAGCGTCATCCTGAGCAACCTGAACCCTTCCACCAAATACGGCGTGCTTGTACAGGCCAAAACAAATGCAGGAATTGGACCTGCCTCAACGGCACCTCTCTGCTCCACTCTTGATAAGGGTAAGTCGGGAAACAGGAGAGGATATAAGAATATGACTAAAAACATACATTAAATTATTGTTATGATGCCGGTTTAATATCAAATCATTTACCGAGGTCTGAAGATGCATTTTATTCTGTTTTAGTTCAACAAACTTCAACAGCGTCAACTATTATGACTACTTCCATTGCCGCCACAGTGTGGATAGAAGACACTACAAGTTTCACTTCAGGTACCTGTTATTGGATTGGTGAAGCTTAATATATTTCTGAATGCTTTATTAACATCTTGAGAGCTATAAAAAATAAGTAAATTAATTATGACAGGAAAATGTATTTTCTTACTCTGCCCCAAGGTCATACAACTTCAACAGTTGAGACAACAGTTGAGACAACAGTTGAGACAACAGTTGAGACAACAGTTGCTGCTGCCACAGTCTGGGGAGACAGCACTACAACTATCATGTCAGGTACTTCATGGACATTAAGAAACTGTTAAAAGTTGTTTCCCTGAATTAATGTTGCTGTTTCTCACATCACTTTTATTTCAGACATTGCATCCAAATTAACTTTATCTGAGCTGTGAATCTGTCTTTCTACCGAAAGAAACATGTCCAAATTCACAAAATTAAACTGTGCTGTAACCCCCACACCCCCCACCAACACACACACACACACACACACACACACACACACACTTTGTGTCTCCTAGTGCCCCCGGATCCCCCAGTGGTTGAATTAAAGGAGGTCAAAGACAATGCAATTTCTCTTTTATGGACTCCTGGGTTTGAAGGTGACAGCCCCATTACTGGATATTACCTGGAGTATAAAGCAGTCAATGGTATGAGAACAATTCACTGGAGGAATTAAATTGTTGCCACTTCACTATGATTCAGCTGTGAAAGCTAAACTTATATTATTAATCCTTTTGGCATTTGATAATATTGTGTTTCCCCCCCCACAGCCTCGTGGGATTACACAAAGACAGTTGTAGACTTCGGCCCCAACCAGACAGAGGCTACAATCATAGAGATAAATCCCTCAAAATACAACATCCGCATGTTTGCCAAGAACAGTCTGGCCACCAGTAAAGCTAGCAACGTCCTTACCATCACCACAGGAGAAACAGGTGTTGTGTTCCTTGATTATAACTGTTTTTTTTTCCATTGCTCAACTCTTTACAGTAGGTTTACTATGGTGCTGTGGTTCATTAACAAGTGGCAAAATGTTCCTTCATTTCTGTAAGAGATGAAATTGGGGGGAAGCCCCAAAATATAATTAAACTATGCTTTTATTATAACACAACTGCAGATCCTCAGAGAACAGGAAACATAGTTGATGTGTCCTGATATCTTCTCATCTCCTTTCCTTTCTAAGTTTAGCAATTTAGCAATACTTTCAAAACTTCCTCTTAGCAACTTCACTTTGTGGTTGTGTGTGACAGGTCATCGTGGGGGTGTTCTCGTTACAACCTTATTTCCTGGCACTCAAGCTCCTGTAAGTATGAAACCATTGACTTCAGTTACAAAGTATGTGGATATTAACACAGAATTATCACAGAACAATGTATAATTTAATGTTACAGTGATAAACCCACAGAGAGCTATCTACAGAGCTTTAGCCTCTTGTTTTGCCCACACTTGTCCTATGTTCGAGTCAGAGACACTTATTATATCTTGTAGGCAGCTGGTTTTAGCAAAAAGCTCAGATAAACTACACCCAACTGTTAACTAGCTCACTTCCTGTTCAGCAACACTGACATTTACATTTAGACGCAGTATGCACAATAGCTTTTATTAGTATTTTTGCTGCTCTTACTTGAATCTATTGTCACTTGTGGATCTCTTACTGTATTGATGCCTCATTAATGTTTAGGCCTATTGATGCTTTATTGATGCTTGCATGTTGTTCCTCAAATGTAAGTCACAACAAAAGGCAGGCAAACTTAATTGCCTAAGTTAGCTAGTTGGTGAAAATAGTTGAGCATCAAGCAAGCTAAAATAAGTTAAAGGTTCATGTGTAAGTTTTAGTGGCATATAGTGTTAAGGGTTGCAAATTGCAACCAACGCTCACGGTACATTCTCATGCTCCTTGGATGGTCCCATTTCTTGTTAAGTCATTCTTCCGACTTTAGTGTGTGTTCATGTGCTTTTAAGTCAGAATGTGGAATCAACATGGACGCTACTACAAAGATGTGTTGGATTCGCATTATCAGAGCGTAAACAACACACAGACAACTAGTTCACATGTATTATTATCATGTATTATTTTATTTATGAAAAACGCGTTGACTGTGGGGATGTAACAGTGGGTATATCATGATGATCTGGTATACAGTTTATTTAATTTAATTTATTTGATCAGTGCAGAGTCTGTCAAATCTGTCTGCGCAACACTCGTGTCAGATCGCTCCTTCTCCATGGTCGCCTGCAGCCGCACTCCGATGTCCTCGTAACTGTAACTTCACAATCTTCATCTACTAGAAAACAAAAAAGGGGAAAAGAGCATGCGTGTTACTTTTCAGGCTATAACAATGCTGTTGACACATTGTCCACCCTGCCCTTCAGCCTCTGCAGTAGCCTGAGAACCACACAATGATCAGTAGTGTATTTAATGTTTTTATTAGACTATAATCAAAACTCATGTTTAGTCTAATGTTCGGGACAAACAGGAGTCTAATGAACTAGTCAACTACTACTACTTCTTCTTTGTACATAGTGAGCTTAGAGACAAAATGCGCTCTGTAGAGTTTGTCCATTTGGGCTACTGTAGAAACATGGCACCACAACGTGGCGACTTCAATGTAAGGGGACCCGCAGTGTATGTAGATAGAAATGGCTCATCCTAAGGTAATCAAAACATAATGGTTCATTATGTAAGGTCTTCATACATCACTGAAAACATAGTTATGGATATTATAATGCATTTCTGTCAATAGATTTTCCTAAATATTACACACTGAACATTTAAGCTTTTCTCAGGTGTTGGTAGAGACAAAACAGAGCTAAAATATGAGTGATTATTGGACTTACATTCATGCTTGGAGAAACACGACTCCAACTGAATGCTAATGGTTCTGTTTATCAGCAGGATGTGAATGTACAGTAAATGTATGCAACTGTTTGATAACTCAGTAGACAAAATTAGCTTGTGAATTTCAGGCTTTGTATCTGCTAGCTTGTTTGTATGTTCTTAATGTTAGGTCTCCAGTGGAGATAAAGTAGACCTTTTGTTGAACTCCTCTGCCAGGTGATCGCCGAGGAGAGTCCAAGTGGTCACCTAGCGGCCATCGTGGTGCCGGTTGTGCTGGTGGTGTTGATTGTTGCCATATTAACCACTTGGCAACTAAGACGTGAGTATCCCAAACAGCATGGCAACTTAAATTAAGAAGTTGGAATAAATTTCCTTCTTTAATTTGATCCTCATACTGGCGTTTACAGGAATAAGGCACAAAAAGGGCAGCGTCAACTGTGGTGTTTGCAGTATTTGGGTCAGTTATGTAGAGAATTAAACACTTGAAAACACCTCTACTGGACTGAACAGTTACTTTTTCTTGTCTGCAGGTGGCTGGCCAGTGGAGTGCTACGTTACAGAGGATCTGAGTCACTACAAGAGCTGTAAAATTCTCAGTTAACTCTTTACACAAATAATAAATAAGCAGACAGAATGAATGAAATTTGCAAAGAATATTTAATTTCTGTTAATGTTATGTCATTAAGAAGATTGAGGAGATTAGGTGATTCAAACTAACCAAACGAATAGGCCTAAATAATCTCTGCTTTGGAAACACTGACTAAATAAGCTCTAATCAACAACCATTGTACTTTAGATTTTATACCTACAATACCATACCAGTATGTTTTTGTACTAGCCTACTTCTACGTATATTAGCCTACTGTGGGCCTCCTATTGTTTGTTGCAGCACTTTTTGCATTTGTTCATTTGTTTCATCTTTTTCTAACTATAGGCAAACTGCTGTTTACACTTTTATAAGCATCAACAGGTCATTAAATCATTATTTTATTTTTATATCGCTTTATGGAATTGTACTACATCTTAATCATTTGCCTTTAGGGTAATAAATGTCCACAGTGTTTGCTGGTCAACATGTAGGCTGATTTATTTTACTGGGTAAAACATTTTGTGTCATGTTGGTACAACCATCACTGAGAAATGAACACAACAGATTTACCTAGGCTAATGGTTACAACCACAAGCTGTGGCCATACTGGATGTGGCAGTTTAAAATATGCTAAATGATTAGTTGGTAAAAGCCCTAAAGGACTATTTGAACCTCTGAAAGGTAGGTTATGAATGCACTCCTGAGATAACATTTTGATTCGAACTCAAAAAAACCTCTATCCCGTTATTTTCTTTAAATTACGGTTAAACTTAAACAGATCACTCCCTGACTAAAATATTTTCAATGAAAAAAAAGTTTGATTCATTATTGTAAAACTGAATAGTCTACACTCAGCGGGTGTGCGTCATTTTAAAACAGAGGGCCTGGTGCTGTTGACCAATCCCTCAATTAATACTAAACTGTAAAACACAATTCCATTCATTGAACAAACTAAAGAAAACAGATATGCGTGACATTTCCTTTCCACAACCCTCACAACACTGACCACCAGTATCAACCTACAACCACAAGATGGCGGCAGATTCCCACCAGTGAGTTGATCTGCTGATCTCCACTCCACCTCATCGTCGATGGAGCAATCCTCTGGGGCAGGCACTGCAGCCAGCTGGATTCCATCCATCTGTGCTGTAAATCTCTTAATTGTCCTAATTAAGGAGATGAGGAAGAGGAGGAGACCTGATACCTCTGCGGAGCTTTGAGGCAGCTGCTGCGAGGGAGTCTGTTACTAATGGGGGTTCACAAGGGGGATACCAAAGCTCATGTCTCAGCAGGGACCACAACAGCGATCAATGTTTGTAAGCGTATGAATGGGTGTTAAAAAAGGGCTTCCACTTCCTTTTCTGCTTGTTTTTCTCTTTCTAAAGAAGGCAGACAACTAAGCCACTGATGAAAGAACTGTTGTTTGTTGTTTCTGCATTCACGTGCTACACTTCCTGAGATGTGGACTAATCGTCTACAGTGGTGTAAATATGGCTTGATTATTGGTTTGCAGTGGTAACCATCACAAACTCAGACTTGCTGACACCAAAGCCACATTACTCTGTGTGACCGTGGCCTATAAACACAAACCCACCACATCCCTCTCTGGACTTCCTCTCATCTCTGGACCCCTCACTTCCGCTGTCCGCTGCCCTTCTCCCTTCTCCCTCTTTCGTCTTCCTCCTCACTCTGGCTTTGCTTACACACACGAGCGCCTTCCTGTTCTGGTTCTTTCCTCCCTATCTGCACCTCTCCGACCCCTTTGCCTTTCATCCATCTTCCTCTCTGTTCAAGCTCTGCTGTACACTGTGTGGCACTTACATAAACAGAAGGAAAGCGGCAAGGAAGGTTGTGGGAAGCACTGGTTGGATAACTTTGATGAGGTCGCTTTGATTGACCACACAGCCAAAAACCAATTTACCTCTCAGCCACCTCCACCCCCACTCTTTCTGGTTCCCCTTGGACCATGCCTGCCACCAGTAAACCACAGAAGGCAACAAACCAGTATTCAATGCAACTAGGACAAGGAGTTGGGACACAGATGGAAACAGCTAAACTCACTGACCTGCAGATGATTAACAATGTGTCATCACCGCAACAATTTTGTCACCTCATCCACGGCATGGCTCCCCCCCCTCTTTAAACATCTTCTACTGAGACCAAACATCCATTAAGGCAACACAAACAACCTCCCTATGTAAGCCATGCAGAGCTGTGTCAGCTGTATCTGGTAAAGGCTTCAATGTGAGACTGCAGGTGGGAGATTGAGGGAGGGGGGAGTGTATGGTCATAATTGGCAGTATTAGCAGGGGACAGAGTTAGTACTGTAATAAATCATGCACTATGGTTCTGGCCACATCAAGGCGCCAGCACTCAGGAAATGGAGACTCTGAACGGTACCACAACACCAAAGGCTCTCCACAGGAGGGGCTGGTCTCCAGGCCTCGTTGCCCCCAAACGGATGCACGGCCGTGGGTCTAAAGGAGCTGCCAGATGTTGGACCTTCTGGAGAGCCTTATGTATTTGCAAACAGCACTGCAGATGCAAGTATTGAAAGGAACAGAAATGAAAGGTTGAGGTGGAACAAAAAATAGACACAGAGGCAGTTTGTGGAAGCATGCACAGTGCGGGGGTATGGCCTATTGCTGATGAAAGAAGCACTAATTGAATCAAGTCTTTATCCAAAATCCCTGCAAACTACAGCAGCTCAAAGGGAACTTTCATGTTGTTAGAGCCATAGCATGCCTGTCAGTGTGCAAATGAAACACGTAGCAATTACATCCATACGTTCTGCGTGAGCTGGAGAAATATTCAGATATTACAGTGACTGATAACAAACGTGTTGAGAAGGATGGTGATGTGGCAATCTAAAAAATTGCCAGAAAAATTCTCTTCATTCATGATGAGATCTGATGGTTCATTTGTGTGTGTGTGTGTGTTGATGTGATCTGATTAGCCAACCTGAGCCAGATGGAAGGCAGCGCACATGTTTGAAGGTCAGACAACAGTTTCCATGGAGACATCACCAAGTAGACCAAGAAACCAAGTACAACGCTGCACTGCACTGTCGCTTCCCCGGGGACATGCATCAGGCTTTGTGTGTGGTGCGTGGTGTGTGGTGTGTGTGGGTGTGTGGGTGTGTGTGTGTGTGTGTGTGTGGGGTGTGTGTGTGTGTGTGTGTGGTGTGTGTGTGGTGGCGTGTGTTGTGCGTGTTGTGTGTATGTATGTACACTGTAAGAGCATTTGCCTGGCAGTTGGAGTTGTCGCTCTGCACTATGCTTTTGTGCATCTACATGTAAAAGGCATTAAGGTCTATTTTCAAATGATGTCCCTTCAGTCCCACAACCATGTGATACTTTTTAAAGTTGTTTGAAGAAAGAAAGGAAGTTTGTGTGTTAAAACACATGTTTGACAGTGTTAGGATGCATAAAGTATGTTCATAGTATGTTATTAAGCTTGAGCTAAGCGGCAAATTTCAACCTTCTCTGAGGTATAAGTTCCATAAAACACGCTAGACTTTATATGATGTACTGTAGCGAGTTTATCAAATGCTGAAAAAATGTATTTGGCAGCCAGTCATTGAGGACAGAAATAGCTATATGACATGCTTGTTGCCTCCCTTTGCACACCCATAATCCTTAATGCTTGCAGATATTTCCATAAACGTTTGAACATCCAAAACCATATGTACGATTCATATCACACGTCACCTCTCATTCAGGCAGCATTAAGTGTCAGAGCTTTGAACAGAAGCATGGGTCTTAATCTGTTTAATGGCTTCCTTCTCAGCACTAACACCACTGACTTTTGCTTTTTTAATACACTGCCCAGAGGCGAGTTCTAGTAAGGAGAGGCGTCAATTGGAAGACCTCCATCGTCCTGGCAGCTGAACACAGTGGAAGTCTTGCATCTGTTGAGGGGATTGGACCGGCTGAGCTCTGCCATAGAAGACAAGTGGCTGCGTGTTGAATGGGAGAAAGAGTGTGGAAGGATGGAGGGGGGGGTAAAGTAGAGGAGGAGGGAGGAAGGGAGAGAGAGAGAGGCAGAGGTAATCAATCAGGGGATTAGTGGCTGTTATTAATGGAGGATAAGGCTCTTTGCTGTCACTCTCACTGACACACAGACAAAACACAGATATACACACAAAGACACAC